GTAGTCACGCTTTGTGTTGGCAGTGAGTCGCTGTTAGATGCTCAATGTCAAGCGCAGTAGTAATCGTTGTAAATCTGTACTTACAACAAAATGGAAGAACTATGGCATCTAAGATTAAGGAAGTGTATGCAGGATTTCTTGAGTGTCACCGGTCCACTGCATGCCGTACCTGGATTGTAGCATGCAGTCCGTCAAGGTTCCAGCTATGAAAGAGTCCAGAATGAAACTAAAGCTAATCTAAATTTCATGGATTGATTATGGCATCGAGTAAGACAAATGCTCCAAGGCTGTCACCTGTGAACCTGCCAGCAGCACTTAGTATGTGCCTTGAAAGGAATTCCAAGTGAAACCTCTCTCTGACACCTCTCTATCGACTTCCATGCCCAGCAGCATGCCAGCATACATGGGAAGTTGCAGTCTGAAGCCGGCACGGGAAACCCAAAACGCTATCACCTGAGCATCACATGATAAAAAACAATGCTGATGCACCAGTCCGGACACTCACACAGACGACACCACTGCATGACCTGCCAAGGGCTGCAAACATCTCATTGACACTGACAACCCTCCTAGCCCAGGCCTGTTCTTGTTTCCCATTAGCTCCCATCATTGCAGTGTGCCCAAACAAAACTCCTTCCCTTCCGCTGCCATTGCCGCCATCACCATCCCCGCCATCGCCACCACCTGCCATCGTCACCCCTGCCACCATCATCGTCACCACCGTCGCCATTGCCACCGTTGCCATCCCCACCGTCACCGTTGCAACCATCACCATCCCTGACGTCACCATCCCCACTGCTGCCGTTCCCCCCATCGCCATCCCTGCCATCGCCGTTCCCCCCATCGCCATCCCTGCCATCACCATTGCCACTGCCGTCGCCATCACCATGGCAGGGATGGCGACAGTGGCAATTGTGATGGCAGGGATGGCGACGGCGGCAATGGCAGCAGTGGGGATGGTGACGTCAGGGATGGTGATGGTTGCAATGGTGCCGGTGGAAATGGCAACGGTGGCAGTGGCGATGACAGGGATGGCGACGGTGGCAGTGGCGATGGCAGGCATGGCGACGG